TACATTTACAAATTATTTTGATTTTGCCAATATGTTCCATTTTTAAAGAAATCTCAATCCCTCAGGATATGGCCAGGTTTCAAACATTCATGGAATCTGATTCTATAAGTGCATTCATAGTGGGAATAGCCAGAAAAGAGATATCCGGGGCTTCGACTTCTACTGGGCCTCTGTTGGACAACATTTGGGCGAGATTTAGCTACCCACTACTGTTGGGCCGGTTTACTGGGATGATCCCAATCTAGTACTCCCTCCGTTCACAAATAAAAGAGATGTTCTAACTTTTTTGTTTATCGGATGTATATAGACACAGTTTAATGTGTTTGTTTACTCATTTCAGTTTGTATGTAGTCCGTAATGAAATCTCTAAAATATCCATTTGTGAACGGAGGGAGTATGTCAAAAACTGTTTGTCTGGCAGTTTTTTTTGTTGAGAAAGTCTGGCGGGTTGCTCTGCCACTTGAGGGTGGACGTCCTCAATTTGATTCAAACAGTAACACACAATCCGGCCCATGCACAACCTGAAAGATTTTTCTTTGAGCAAATGCACAACCTAAAAGGTGGGACGGACATATGAAGGGCCCAAGACTGGATCACTAGTTAGGACTTTCTTGTTCAAATCCACACCGCCTGCCCCTTTAACCTGGCCACTATCCTTAGCTGAAAGATTGTTATTTACAGGACATTAGCACCACTGGTTGAGCATGGCATGAAGCACACACATTGTTAACTTGAGCAGATGATAGATTGGAACCGACAAGATGACCAAGCACAGCACATTCAGCCTCAGATAAATGATCTGGAGAAGAGCATGGATAACTTGTACGAAAAACATTCCCGAATAACAGTGAGATTATGCCCTGCTCAAATAAGACCTTCACGGTCAACAAGTTCCTTAACAGGCAGTCTCTTCAGGAAATAAAGTCCATCTTGATTTCTTAATACCCACTGTGGTCCAAATGCTGTGAAATTAAGGATTGCTTGGAGGTGCTTGGAGGTCCAAGTTCATGGGTATTGCTAGAGTTCCCATGCTGCACATAGACAACCTGATGACGGAAAAGGGTTTCCCCCCACTTTATAGATAAAGCACCATCACCAACACAAGCGAGTAAGATACAAACACACTCCACCACCACACTCAACGCACGCACCCATGGCGAGATACAAAGGTGCCGAGCACCGAACACATCACCCCAACGACGACTAAGCACACTAATGATAAGCCGAAAACCACCATGAAGATGAACAATCAATCGAGGAGCGATGAGCTAGACACGACCAAAGCGGGGACTCCAAGACGACGTCCTCAAGAAGGATACGACCTTAGAAAGCCGTCATCGTCTGATCCAGAGGATCAAGTTTTCACCCGGAGTGACGCGTAGGAGGTGGGAGCACCACGACGAAGCCTGCAGGGAGGGGAACGACGTCCGCGGACGCCGCCTCCGTCGGCCAGTACCGGGACTGGTCAAGTGGTGAACCCCGGTGCTCCAACCTCTCCGATGCAACCCCGCTCCGCCAACCACCCGCAGCCATGCCGCCCAAGCGACCGTGGCTGCCCGCCCGCACCCGAGCCGCGCGGTCAGCCCACGACCAACGTGCCTCCCGCCGCCAGAGCCGCCGCTCTGCCTCCAGACCGCCCTGATGATCAACAAAGGCCGAGACTTTGAGCAAATCCGCATCCAAACTGCCTCCGAGACCGCCGGCCAACCACCTCCGCCTCGAGCAACGCCGGAACCGAGAACACATGAGGATGGGGAAGGGGGGAGGGGGAGGAATGGCCCACGACCATGACCGGCAACCACTTGGGCCGGCGACGGATAGCTCCGCAACGGAGCTCCCGTCCCTCCAACCAGCTCCCTGCCCCGAAACCACCGGTTTCGCCCCACCCTGCCATAGGTCCAGACCCGCGCGAGACCACGGCAGCGGCCCATGGCCGGAGCAGAGGAAGCAGAGCGCTCGCCGCCACGCTCATGGATGACCACCGGAGGGATCTCCCATGCCGTACGACGCCGACCAGCCGCAAGGGCCCGACCGGGCAGCGGCGCAC